TCCAGGGAAGCAACGGACGGCGTGTGCCAAAACAAGGGCAGCTTGCGGGACAGCCAGGGCGTTACCGAGTATCTGCATGCACACAGCATCGTCCTCAACAAAGAGCTGCTGGCGTTGAGCCCCGTGGCACGAAGCAATCTCTGGGGCTGAGAAGAACCTTATCTTATCATGAACCCTCAGCAGACTCCACAATAAGCCTTTGCGCTCCAGCATGCCTGGTGGCAAATCATGTTGCTTGTGATACATCGCCATGAAAGTGCGAGCCTGCTGGCCCGGTGTACATGTCCTAAAACGCTGAACCGTTGCTGCATCGTGAGGCACTCCAGGCGGAAGGTACCATGGATCCATGTACTTGGACAATGTGTCGGCATCTAGCTCACAAGGCCGTAGCACAGCAGCAGGCAAGATGCGAAAGTAAGCATGCATGGCATAAAGGGATGGGCGCGGGTGAGGCACCCACATTTGGGTCTGCAGAACCTGACACGCATGTGGCATACGTTGGGCATGCGCGAAGACCATCATGAAACGCTTGCGCCAGGTCGGGGCAACATCCGCTAATTGCAACTCTTCCCTGAAAATGCAAACGTAACCGGCTTCTGCCCAAGCTCGCATGATTTCCGGGAAATCTCGGTGAAGTACAAAGCCTGGGACCTCCTCTAAACATATAACAGGGACCCGGACCGCCCGCAGGATGGAAATCAACAGCAGAACAAGACGCCCGTCGGGGCTATCCAATCCACTTTGCGTGCCAGCTGAGCTCCATGGCTGGCATGGTGGACTACAGGCCAGCAAGTCCGGCGGGAAAGATGCCCAGACCTTATGCCAGCATACGTGTTCCAAGTTTGCCACTACCAGGACTGGATCCGTGATATCCGCAACCTGCTGGAGTTCTGAGCTCGTGTGCACTGTCTGCAAACTAGGCAAGAGGGCCTCAAGTGGGGCCTGCAGGTTGTCATCAATATCAAGCAACCAACTAGTCCGCAAAGCCACTCCCGTATCCTGAAGAGACCATGCCGCCTGTGTCCAACCAGCAAATCCCCCTGAAAAGACCTCAGCCATTTGCACACACGAGTCAGCCCTTAAAGCGATATCTCCTGCCAGAAAAGCTGGACCAACTGTAGAATCCAAGACCACAACATCAGCCGTGGCCTGCACTTGTGTCCACAATGCTCGGAGTTCATCACAATGGGCCCCCAATGTAGCCCAGTCTGACAGGCTCATACGTAGAAGGGCCTTGCGATGTGGGTGATCTACCGCCAGAGGCTCAACTGTCTCGGAATGAATGGTCGATTGTAAGTGCTGCAGAATGGTGGCCCGCACCAAGACACTATCAGCACAAAACACCGCATCATCTCTGTCAATTCGCAGCTCGAAGCAAGAACAGGTGCCCGCTATCTCAATAGGAGCCTGACTCGCAAACTGGAAAAGCCCCCGCAGGGAATCCCACCAACTCTCAGCCATGGCCAAGAAAAGTCACAGCCCGATCAGTACCTAGCGGCTACTAGGCGACAGCTTCGCCGCGTGAAGGCTCGGGCCCAGAAGCTGCAACTCTGAACCCGGGAAGCCTAAACCCAGAAACCCTGAGCCAGAATCCCTGAGACCCCATACTCCTAAACCCCCGGAATCCACCCTGAACCCAGAAACTCTAAACCCAGCAAGACATTACAAGCTATTAGCATGTCAAGCCCGTCAGGTATGCCATAGCGCAAGCCTCTAAAACAGGGCGGGCCCTGGAACAGCCGCGGTGACTGCGTGATCCCTCCCGTTTCCCGGTGAACCCCCCGGGCATCCCGGTGAACCCTACACCCTAAACCCCGAGCCCTAAACCCAGCACCCTGAAACTCCCTGCCTGATCCCCCCGTTTCCCGGTGAAACCTCTCTGCTTTCAGCAGGACCCTCATGTTCCCTCAGCTTGGGACTGTGGAAATAGCGTGATTTTCAAGGGGACTGTGTGTCTTGCCATAGCTGAAGCTGCTCTGCCGGGCACAAAAAACAAACCGAAATCAAAAAACAAACCAGCAAGGAACCACCCCATCTTTACCAACCCCTCCCACTCCCGAACACCACCAACAAATTGTTCTGACAGTGTTCTGACTTTCCGAATCCCTCCAGCTTGGTGAATTACTCAAGGAGTGGTGATGTTTCTGCTAGGCTTTCAACATTCTAGAAAGATGTTGTTTACAGTCGTTTTCTATTGCTTGTATTTGCTAGCAAACTCAGAACCTGTACTTGTGGGGTGGAAGAAAAATGGCCATTTCGCCCCGATTTTATACCATACAGCATCCATGCAGCACCCAATGATAATGTAACTTGGGGGGCGGGGTTCGAAATGTAACTTGAGGGGGGGTCGGCCAGACGTGTCCCGAATCAGAAACCTCTATACGGAGCATTGGAAATGTAACTCGAGGGGGGGTTTCGGACACGTAACAGCAGCCAGACATGTAACCAAGGGCCCCCCCCCCCTCCCCCAGTTATATCCCCCTACGAGGGGAGGGTTTAACTCGTATCGCATTGCGGAAATACACATCTTTCGGCGACCACCTTGCGGTAAAGGATTTCGGAGGGCAGCCTATCATACATCCAAACATCAACCGTTTCAGCGTCACCTTGCGGTTAAGCATGCCGGAGCCCGCCCTAGCATACATCCAAACATCAACCGTTTCTAGATGGTGTTTGACGAGCTTGTGGTGTATGTTTGGTGACTTTATACAGTAAGATATGATAGATGCAGCTGTAGTGGTGCAACAACAGAAACCAGCGTCACCTTCGTGATTCGCTACTAAAACGCATCAATGCCGCATCAAAATGGCAGCCGTCCGTGCCGAGAACACTGGCGTCCGCGAGGGTTTCGTTATGTTTCGTTAAGTTGGCAACGACCAACAGAATCCAGCGTCACCTTCGGGATTAAGGTTGGTGTGATGTGTAATTCTGGCGCTGATGTGTAATTCCCTCAAATCAGCGTCTACATGGGGTGATGCATATTTATGCGCCCTGATGTGTGTTAAACCCCCCCCCTAGTAGCGTGAAAAGGTGATGCTGTCAATTCGCACGTGCTTCTTGTCTTGACACAGGGTGCACGGCCTCTGCACAGACAGGGAATACCGGCATTTCACACTGCAGATCGTGAAGCGTGGGGTTTGCAGTGGCCATCCGTAGCATTGGTTGAAGTCGTTGTGTTTTTCGCTAGTGCTGGGGTCCTGTTGAGCATCCGGCGCCACGGAAACCGCCGCATGAAGCCCACCAGTCGAAACCCATGGCCATCACTGAAACATGAGTATCTCAACAACACCCCTGCTTGGCAAGGCCAAGGCCGAAGCCGAAGCCAAGGCACGCAAGCATGAATGGGTATGCTTCGGAATTTGCAGAGTTCTGTATCGACCACCCATCCCCTGCATCCCTTGTCACGGCTGTCATCATTTCAGGAGCAGGTTGTTTCGTGGACTGAAAAGCAGCCATACGTAGTTATGTGAAAAGGTGATGCTGTCAATTCGCACGTGCTTCTTGTCTTGACAGGGTGCACAGCTTCTGCGCCGACAGGGAATACCGGCATTTCACACTGCAGATCGTGAAGCGTGGGGTTTGCAGTGGCCATCCGTAGCAGTGGTTGAAGTCGTCCTTGGTTTCGCTAGTGCTGGGGTCCTGTTGAGCATCCGGAACCACGAAAACTGCCGCATGGAGGCCACCTGTGGAAACCCATAGCCAGCGTTGAAGCATGAATAACTCAACACCCCTGCTTGGCAAGGCCAAGGCCAAGGCCGAAGCCGAAGCCAAGGCACGCAAGCATGAATGGGTATGCTTCGGAGTTTGCAGAGATCTGTATCGACCACCCATCCCCTACATCCCTTGTCACGGCTGTCATCATTTCAGGAGCAGGTTGTTTCGTGGACTGAAAAGCAGCCAAGCGTAGTTACGTGAAAAGGTGCACAGTTTCTGCACCGACAGGGAATTCCGGCATTTCACATTGTTTATCGTGAAGCGTGGGGTTTGCAGTGGCCATCCGTAGCATTGGTTGAAGTCGTCGTGTTTTTCGCTAGTGCTGGGGTCCTGTTGAGCATCCGGAACCACGAAAACTGCCGCATGAGGCCAACTGTGGAAACCCACAGCCAGCGTTGAAGCATGAATAACTCAACACCCCTGCTTGGCAAGGCCAAGGCCGAAGCCGAAGCCAAGGCAAGCAAGCATGAATGGGTATGCTTCGGAGTTTGCAGGGATCTGTATCGACCACCCATCCCCTGCATCCCTTGTCACGGCTGTCATCATTTCAGGAGCAGGTTGTTTCGTGGACTGAAAAGCAGCCATACCTAGTTACGTGAAAAGGTGATGCTGTCGATCCACACGTGCTTCTTGTCTTGACACAGGGTGCACGGCCTCTGCACAAACAGGGAATACCGGCATTTCACACTGCAGATCGTGAAGCGTGGGGTTTGCAGTGGCCATCCGTAGCAGTGGTTGAAGTCGTCGTGTTTTTCGCTAGTGCTGGGGTCCTGTTGAGCATCCGGCGCCACGGAAACCGCCGCATGAAGCCCACCAGTCGAAACCCATGGCCATCACTGAAACATGAGTATCTCAACAACACCCCTGCTTGGCAAGGCCAAGGCCGAAGCCGAAGCCAAGGCACGCAAGCATGAATGGGTATGCTTCGGAGTTTGCAGAGTTCCGTATCGACCACCCTTGCCCTACATCCCTTGTCACGGCTGTCATCATTTCAGGAGCAGGTTGTTTCGTGGACTGAAAAGCAGCCATACGTAGTTATGTGAAAAGGTGATGCTGTCAATTCGCACGTGCTTCTTGTCTTGACACGGTACACGGCTTTTGCACAGACAGGGAATACCGGCATTTCACACTGCAGATCGTGAAGCGTGGGGTTTGCAGTGGCCATCCGTAGCATTGGTTTGAAGTCGTCGTGTTTTTCGCTAGTGCTGGGGTCCTGTTGAGCATCCGGCGCCACGGAAACCGCCGCATGAAGCCCACCAGTCGAAACCCATGGCCATCACTGAAGCATGAGTAACTCAACAACACCCCTGCTTGGCAAGGCCAAGGTCAGAGCCGAAGCCGAGGCACGCAAGCATGAACGGGTATGCTTCGGAGTTTGCAGAGTTCCGTATCGACCACCCATGCCCTACATCCCTTGTCACGGCTGTCATCATTTCGGGAGCAGGTTTAAGTGCTCGGAGATGTTGAGCAACTCCCGTTCATGGAAGCACGGCAGGGTCTGCCGTCATCGACCTGAATATCACCTTTCTTGAAAGTTCAAGCATCCGCCAGGGCAGCAGCAGATTAAAGCAGTTTCGCCGGCTACGATCACGGATATTGTGGCATGCATAGAATCGTAGAACTCATCACTACTGGTATCCGGTTCTATCACCCTTGAAGTTCTCATTCTCATTGTCACTTGTCTTTCTTCCGCTACATGGGTGCAGGCTCGCTTCAACTTCTGATCGTCTAGACCCCAACACTTCTTGCAATTCCACGATAAGCCCAGGCCTTCAGAAGCCCCCAGTCCTTGCAGTCCTCGCAGCTCATCAGATTGCTGAGACTTTCTCCCTGCGAGGCCTGGTTTGATTTGGGCTACCGCGGTGGAGGCGAGAGCGAAGGCCGACGCTACAGCGAGAAGGCTGCCGCAGGGTGTGCAGTAGAATCCAGTGGCGTTAAGAGAGGGTCCCGGAAGCGCCGGGTTTTGCCCCGAGAGACCTCGAAGCAAGCGCCCCTCAGCCAGCTCCAGGAGTGCTACGTGAAGGCCTTGGAGCTGGACCCCTCCAATGCGACCGCCTGGCTTTACCTTGGATTTCGCGGGAGGGGTGGCCGGGTGAAAAGGCAGGACTACTCCAAGAAAGACTGCTATCTGAAGGCCTTGGAGCTGGACCCCTCCAATGCGAGCGCCTGGTTTGGCCTTGGAGTTGTGGGGGGTGGCCGGGTGGGGGGGCAGGACTACTCCGAGAAAGCCTGCTATCTGAAGGCCTTGGAGCTGGACCCCTCCTATGCGAGCGCCTGGTTTGGCCTTGGAGTTGTGGGGGGTGGCCGGGTGGGGGGGCAGGACTACTCCGAGAAAGCCTGCTATCTGAAGGCCTTGGAGCTGGACCCCTCCTATGCGAGCGCCTGGTTTGGCCTTGGAGTTGTGGGGGGTGGCCGGGTGGGGGGGCAGGACTACTCCGAGAAAGCCTGCTATCTGAAGGCCTTGGAGCTGGACCCCTCCTATGCGAGCGCCTGGTATAACCTTGGAGTTGAGGGGGGTGGCCGGGTGGGGGGGCGATTTTACAGCAAGGACGAGTGCTATGCGAAGTATCGTGAACTTCAGAAGTGATTTACCAAGCCGGAGGTCGCTCAACGACGAAGTCGCTAGGGCGGTCCCTGGATCCAGTTCTCCTCTCTTTCCGAGGTGTTTGGAAAGAAGAAGGCTAAGAGCCTTGATCCTCGCTGCCAGGACTTCTATAATGCTTTTGGCACCTACAGGCTTAATTTCTCGGAAGGTGCTGAAAGGGCTTGACATCGAGTTCAGAATGCGGCGTCAGAGAAGATTTCTATGAGGGTTTATAAGTCGGACTGCTATAGTTTCGGGATGGCAAGGCCTGGCAGCTCAGCGTTTCACTGAGCTCGGCAGCAGCGAATCCGCACCACAGAAAATAAGCGGCTTCGGTATTGCAAGCCTCAGAGACGATTCAGAACAGCTGGAGGCCACGACGGTAAATTGCCAGCCAAAGCATGGTCTTTCGACGCCGGACAGCAACGCGGGCCCTGCAGCTATTTTACAGCCACGTGATCCGCTTGCTGCATGCGATTGTTGTGCTCAGAAGCCGTTTCGTCTTACCAGCTTCGAAAATGTCATGCCTTGCTTCATGGAGCCTTCAACTTACCCGCGCCCCTCATGTCTGCAATCCTGCAGCCCGGCCCGAAAGCTTGCAGCCTCACGGCTTACAGCACTGTCTCTCAGCACGCATTCGTACACACCCGACATCGTTACTAGAAGTTGGATGCCGGAAGTTCAAGAGTGAAGCCCTAAGATATATAAAGCCGTTCTGAGTTCCAGAATACCACCGCAGCCTTTGTGAAGCATGGTCTGAAGTCGAGGCAGGGACTCGAGAGGCACTGTCGTCAAGATATAGCATGCAATGCGTAATTGCTGGTCTAGGGTTCAGCATTTAGGGTGGATGATACCCTATAAACCCTATAAACCCCATAAGCCCCATAAACCCCCTAAGCCTAAACCCGCAGCCCTAAACCCATCATAGATCCCTTTATGGAACCCTTGTAGATCCCTTTAAAGGATATGGAACCCTAAACTAGTAATAGTAATAATAATAGTAATAATAGCAGTAATAAAGATTTTAAAAATAATAGTACCAAGACCCTTCTAGGCCATGGCCGGTCGCGAGGGCTCTCCCGGGCCATTGCGGGGCCCTCATCCGGCAGAACGCAAACCTACCAGTTTAGGCTTTCGGGTTCAGGGTTTTAGGGTTTAGGGTTCAGGTTTTAGGGTTTAGGGTTCAGGGTTTTAGGGTTTAGGGTTTAGGGTTCAGGGTGCAGGGTTTAGGGTTTAGGGTGATACAGAGTGATAGACCGGATCGATATGATGTGTGCTCGTACCTCGGGTGGCTTTACGGTAATCGAATAAAAAGCTCTTTGAGTTTGGTCGAGTTCGGTCTCGTATGCTGCGCCAAAGCAAGCCTTTCTTTTACCCTTTTCATTCTAGGTTTTCCGTATTCAAACTGAATACCAGGAAAACGGGTACCCTTGTTGTTAAGGCGACATTGGATAACCTCGGGGGGTGTTTGTATTGTGTTGTGTCGTGTTGCTCGGTGCTGCATCATATTCTGTCTTGGCGTACCCAGTCCTATCCAATTTCGCTCCACTTGCCCCTTCAGTGTTGTGTTATCTCATATCGTTTCCGATGACCTGCTGCCTCTTGCAAGGTGGTGGGATGTGGCTTTGCTAGTTACTCTTCCAGTCTACTCCCGTCCGGTGCTGTACTTTTTGTTCTGCGGTCTCATGGGGTCTTGTGTTGTTGATTATGACATGGCACGCTGTGTAAGCAGGTATAAGCAGATCAAAGGCAGCTATACATTGGTGGACTGTCACGAAGCAAACTCCCCAAGCAGCAACTGTTGATGTCCCTAGGCCCTGGGTTCTTGGATCATGTGTATCTGTGTCAAACACTTCAAATCCTTGCCGCTTAAGCTCATCAACCCTAAACAGATCCTGAATGGCTTGCTGTGGGAGCTTCGGCCGTTGCATTGTTTGCTTGGAGGTTTTGAAACATCGTGCTGGCTTGCAGCGTATTTGTTAATTCCAATCAGCAGTTGCCAGTTAAGTTTGGCTGCTGCAACAGATTTCAGCCTTTTGCAAACCGGCGCCCTAAGCAACCCGATGCCCTGTAATACCTTGACATACCTTGACGTGCGGTGTCGCAGTGTACTGCATGTTGGAATGATGGTCAGTCAGTGCTTTTGTTTAGCGTAGAATCAATCACGGGACCGTATCCATATACTGATATACTGTATATACTGTACAAGTTGTTCCGTGGCGCCTTTTCTTGTCTCTCGGGCCATGGGTGGCACAAAATACATAGTATTATGGCATGAGAGTCTGACGCCAGTAGGTCTCAGTAATTCAGCATTTGTTTGGGTTTTCGCCTTCCAGCGCCTTGGAGTCAATGCAGACTTAAGATTGATGGGAGTTGCAGACAGGGAAGCTAGGACGGTGTAGCGGTAGCATGCTAGGCTGTCTGTCTTGTCGTACCGCGAAGTTCTTTGTACTGCTTTACGATATCTAGACCATGCTTTGCCATAGTTAGGTGTCTCTACAATGTTCGCTCAGGCAGCTTGTAAGTAGTATGCATGACTTCCAGACCCCCCCCCCCCCCCAAAGCATACAGAAGGCTGAACGGTGGCCTGAGGCGCTACCGCCTTTGGTGCGGCGGGCTCTACAAAGACATCACTGAAGATGAGGTGGCGGACGGCCTCAAGCAGCTTCCAGGGAAGCAAGACATCTCCCAAGATCGAGGATCCTGGCGTTGCAGTACAGCAGCCCTATGTTGGGCAGTTTTGGACACCATAGTTTGCGGATTCTCGTGTTGCTGTCCCTTCCATCCATGCTGCTTTAGATGCTGCAAGTCCGAAAGGCTTTGGTTTGACAGGTCAATAGACTTGGTGCAAGAAGTGGTTTCGTTGCGGGTATGCCTGTCTTTCCAGCCAACCTACACCCTACCCCGGAAACTGCTACGACTACCGTTGCACCGTCTCCGAAAGACTGCAGGTTTCGGGTCGAAGGGTTGGGATTCGGATGACGTGTTCTGCATCATGGTCACGGTTTGTGGGTCAAAGGGTTTAGGGTTTAGGGTTCAGGGTTGCGGGAAGGCAAATCCAGAAGAAGTGCTGAAAGAGTTGAAAGAATTGCCGCCATGGCAGCCCCGTTCCGCGACCCGCGTCGTTCTCATTCGTTCATTCACACTGGTACGTGGGAGCCACACAAAGATCAAAGAGCTTCGGACCATTGGCGTCGGGCCACTGGATGTGCTTCGGCATCCTTCGTATTTATGTGGGTTTTGCGCTTCCTGCTTTGACTCTCGTCTCAGCTGTGTGCATGTCACTTCGAAGCCGGTGGGCGACAGGCCCAGCCTCAAGGCCCAAGCCCGCAACCCTAAGCCCAAGCCCGAAAGCCACACCCTGAACTCTAGACCCCACGTCCTTCCTGAACCCTGACCCCAACCTTAGACCACCTTGCGGCCAGATCCGGCAGAGAGTCGAGCCTTTCGCCGATGTCATCAAAGTGATGCTGCGGACACTCGCCCGCATTTTTTTGGGCCACGAGGGCTTGCAGTTTAGGTCATGAGATCTTCCAGTGACTGGAATAAAGAGTCACGAGCCATGAAGCTTTAGGCGTTGTGGTGATGAGCGAAAGTTGTAGGGCTTTCGGGTTTAGGGCTCTGCGCGATGAATCAGGGAGCCTCGGCTTGGGGGTCTAGAATGGGGTTTGGAGTCTGAGTCTTGAGCTCTGAGGGTTACTTAGTACAGGGGCTTACATAATTACCTATACTATTTGGGGGGCTTCCTTTTGATAACTACAGTATAACGGGCCCCAAAGCCCTATACTAATTGTTAAGGCCCTCATATTAGGCTTGGGGGTCTTATGGCTTGAGTTCAACTTCTGGAGCTTGCAGTGCTAGGTAGGCTTTAGCCTCGGAGCTCTTCTGCAACTCGCCGTAGGTCCAAGTGCTGTGCCAGCAGCAAACAAGATGTAGATGTTATACGACAACCCAGAGACTCCAAAACCCCTTAATTAAGGAATATACCTTAAACCATATTAGGATCCCTATTATGATTTAAGGTATATTCCTTAATTAAGGGTTTTGGAGTCTCTGGGAAATCTGCTAGCTTGCGGAACGCAAACCCGAAACCCTAAACCCTGCTGGGGGGGGGCACCGAGGAGCTCTGTGAAAGATACCTTCTGCTTCATCCAGTTCCGTAGTCAGAAGGCAGGGCTTCAGGGTTCGGTTTTCAGGGTTTGGGGTTCGGGGTTCAAGGTTTGGGGTTAAGGGTTCGGGGTTCAGCGGTTTATCAGGTTTCGGGGTTCGGGGTTCAGGGTTTGGGGTTGAGGGTTCAGGGCTCAGGGTTCAGGGTTTAGGTTTAGGGTTCGGGTTTGAGGGGTCAGGGTTTAGCGGTTCAGGGTTCAGGGTTCGGGGTTTCGGGTTAAGGGTTCGGGGTTGAGGGTTTGGGTTTCTTCAGGGTTCAGAGTTTGGGTTCAGGGTTACGGGGATTGTTGTGTCCAGGATGCCAGAACCCGGTCTTGCGGCCCCATTGTCGGGCGACGGGAGAGAGCGTTTGGGGTTATGGGGTTTAAGGTTTGGGGTTTAGAAGTTGCGGCCCATGCTCTTTCTAAGTGAACAGTCCTGCTTGAGGGTCGTTGCAGGTGGCTTCCTGGAGTTCCTTTGCTTTTCGAGATGAAAGTGCTTATGTGATGAGACGGCAGCATTACATGCAGGATATATGCTGACACGGGCTCCTGGATCCACGACGGCGGGCTTCCACAGATGAAGTACCGAATGCGCACGGCCAAACCAGATGGCTCATGTATGCTCATGTTACAGTTGTTGCGAGACGTTTTGCCCTTGGCATTTTCATATATGCACCAGAGTGCTGGAAAGAGGTCTTGCTTCACTCGACAACCGGCGTCACCTCCCAAAAATCAAGACCTCACTCAATCCTCGCAGCACGTCGTAGGGTTTAGAGGTCATTTCGGGTTACACTTTAGACTCCAGACTCCAGACTACTATAACCATTGCCGTTGCTATTACTATTGCTATTACTATTACTATTACTATTACTATTGTTATTGTTATTGCTAGTACTACTACTATTACCATTACTAGTACTCTTACTTTTAAGGTCTCAGGTCTAGGGTTCGTGTCTTCTCGGGTTTGGACTCGAGGACATGGACATTGCACGGGAGAAGCTCGATCAATCCAATCTTTTGGGCGACCGCGCGGGGCCCTCAGAGCCTGGTGGGTTTAGGATGCTTTGGGGTTGAGGCTTAGTAGCTGAGTGGATACACTTTACACTTTTCGGGAGAATATGACCCACTACAAAACCACTTTCTGGGGCTTATGAGCTCAGAAACTAAGGATGGGCTTAGGTTCGAAGGTTTGGAGGTTTAGGGTTGAAGCTTTAGGGTTGAGGCCTTAGGGTTGAGGGTATAGGCTTTAGGGTTGAGCATTGAGTGTTTAGGGTTGAAGCTTTCGAGAGCTCTGCATGGGAGGGCATCTTGACCCCAAGCTCTTACCTTTGGTTAGTAGGGAATGGAGGAACGGGGGTATAATTATAGCTACTATTACTACCACTCTTCCATTCCCTACTAACCAAAGGTAAGAGCTGTGTAGGGCCCTGGGGCCGGAACTCGCAAGACGAGGTTTGCGCGCAGCCGGCCACAGCTGACAAGAAGAAGGCAAGTTGAAGTGCCTGGTTCTACAGGGTTTCAGGGTGTTTGGAGTTTAGAGTTTAGGGTCTCAGCCTTGGGGTTTAAGGTGAAGGTCTACGGTTGCCGGTCTCGCTATTGGAGTTGGTGTGAGGTTGGAGTCTATAGACTACAAGATTGGGGTTGGAGGTTCAGTGTTCAGGATTTTGGACCCTCAACCTCGTCTCCGTCTGAGCGACAAGATGCTCGAGGGTTTAAGGACCCCGTTGCACGACAAATAAGCCCTAACCCCTGAATCCTGTATGCATCAAGCCAACCCCGAACCCCAAGCCTTAAGCTGTACATAAACCTTAAACCCCAAAGCGCAACCCTTGTGGTACCCCTATGCTACCCTCTAGAACCTTTGTAGAACCCTTAGTAACCCTTCTGGAGCTAAAACATAAAGCCGAAATGCAAAACCTTGAACCCCGAAACCCCAGACCCCAAATTCCCAAATCAACAACTCTAAAGCCCCAAAACCCCTAAATCCCCCTGACCCCTGAAGCCTGACAGCCTTGTCCCTTCCAGGATGGCGGGCCACCCGTCTACGAGAGCCGCAGACCACCGAAGGCCGAGGTGGGGCAGCGGTTGGAAGCGTTTTAAGGCTTTAGGGATTTGGGGTTTTGGGATTCAGGGTTTTATAACGAATCTTCAGTGGTCGCTTGTAGAATGGACAGAGTTTTGGGCTTTTGGGTTTGCTTTTCGACTGAGGACAGTTTGAGCTTGGTTGGTTTGCGTTCCGAGTTTAACGTCGTGTGCGTTCAGGGCAGAGTTCACGATTTCGGAGGGTTTGGGGGGGGTAAGGTTGCAGGGAATGCTCAGGTGACGGCGTTGGTAAGGTTATATGTACCTCCATTGGGCAGGTTATATGTATAAGTGCCTTAATTGGGAGTATGTATATGTACAGTGACTTCATTTACAACCTGGCCCACGATCGTTCAAGTATCAGAGCAAGAGCAACAAGGTCAGTGGCCTCGTGACGTGGTTTTACTGGGTGTTTCGGACTTCGGGGGGGCTTCTAGTCAGCACATTGACCTCGCGGTTTGTCCACAGAGTGACCAGCCCTGAAGCCTAAACGTTCTCCTCAGGTCTTAATGGCATAAACCCCACAACAACCTCCACCGACCAGGGGATGGGAAAGGGAGGCGGCAAGGACAAAGGGTCGGCCGGATCCTCAGATTCTATGCTTTAGGGGTTTCGGGCTGACCAGGATGTAGGGTTTTCAGGGTTTAGGGTTTAGTACTTTCACGCCCATCAGCTCGGCAAAGTGTTATCGTTGCTACCGCGGTGATGTCTGCCTGCCGCTTTCGTTCATGGCAATATAGAGAGGCCAGAATAATTAGAATAGGTTTTTGGGGCTTATTACGCTATAACTATAGCAATTAGTAAGGAACCCCCAAAATAGTATAGGTAATTATTAAGGCCCCTATAGTACCTTTCTGTTCTTGTTTCTTGCGACCCTGAGTCTTCACCTATTCGCCAGCTTCTGACCACCCGGACTATCATTCCAATCTTTTGCAAAGAAGAATTTCGGGGATAGCGTTCGCAGGGATTGCAGTGCTTCGAGGGTCAAAGGGCAGTTCCGGTTCGTGTTTTTGAAAGGTGTTGGGGAGGGTGTTGGGGCAAGAGATGGAGTGTTCAGGGCTTAGAGCTTAGCGATGCTTTGCCAATCGTATGATCATGCTGGCTGCGGCCTTTGTGTGGGCTCGGCTAGGAACGTGGGAGTTCCCGTCAGCGGAGCCTTTATGGGTCATACGATCACCAGGCTGCCAGCAGAGTACCCTGTTTCCAACGATCCCATACATTGCAAACCTAAAGCCTAATTCCCCGCATACATCAGGACTACGGCCGACGACCCCGCAGTCGCACTCCTGCAGGCATTCCCCGGATTCTAGGAATCGGTGTAGACAGGTCTGAGGTTTGGGCGCTCGCCATGTTCTTGGCCTTCCTAGTTGAATGTCTGGGGCATCAGGTTTAATTACTTTATTCAGGGTTTTGGGGGCTTGACTCTCAAGGCTTCAAGTAGTTGAGGGCTTGTTGTGAAGAAGCACTGCAAGGAGCTTTCTAGACAAGTCAGCTCAAGGATCCGTTCTTGCGACTAGAGCCCCAAATTCGAGGCCAGAAAGGCCCTGACCCGAAGTTGCTAATCCCAAAGTTCCGGACCTCGGAATTTTGGCGCCTTGAAGAACCTAAACACTCGTGCCCAAGTCCTCTAAACTCCAGCATCATCAATTCGTTGAGGAAGCTCCAAGATCAGCGAACGTATCGAGCGTTGAGCATGGTCCATCCATGGGCAAAGAGAGCGATGTGCTGAAACCTCAGCCCCCAAACCATTGGTAACCCTTGAAGGAGCCCTGAACCCTGAATCCCTGAAACCCAAAAACCCCTAAACCCCAAACCCCTAAACCCTAACCCCTAAACCCCCAAATCCAAAACCCCTAAACCTTAAACCCTAAACCTTATCATGCTAGGAGACTTCCAAGTCCAACGACTTTCCCACCAGAGTCTTCGCTCAGGCATTGACTAATAGTAACCTTACCCTACGTATCATCATAGGAGGCCTCCAAACTACTCTAAGGGACTCTCAGGGGCTATCATGGGGATCCATCTCCATCTCCTACTAAGACTAGAGAGTCCTTCAGGCCATGATGACCGGCACGGTGGCAAAGGCAATCAGAAGCCTCGCTACCAGGAGAGCTCCCCACTTAAGTTTCCTACGATGTCAATCAAGAGGCTTAGGGTTTAGGGCTGCTGTAAGGGTTGCAGTACTTACGGGCTACTGCTTTTGGGCTTCGGGGTTTAGGGTTCCTCGAGGGGCCACCCCAAGGTTACGATATGGGCTACCGTAGGAGTTCAGGGTGTTGGGGTTCAGTTTGCAGAGCTGCGAGTCCGGGGTTGTGCCTCTCCTCTCCTCGGTGAACCTGCAGTTGTGACGCTGTGGCCGCATCCGAATGATTTTCGTAAAGTGTTCGGTTTTCGTCAGTAGATGTCGGCAGGATGCCCCTGAATCCTAAACCCTCAGCCCTAAACCCTAAGCCCTAAACCCTAAACCCTAAGCCCTAAACCCTAAGCCCTAAGCCCTAAACCCTAAGCCCTTTTGGAGACTGCCGTAGACCAGTAAGTGCTTCGAACAGCTGAGAGGACGGACCACGAGGGCCTCACGCTGGCGAGGCTCGGCTTCTCCTGGAGAGAGAAAAGATAGGGCTTAGGGCTTAGGGCCTAGGGTTTAGGGTTTAGGGTTTAGGGTTTAAGGTTTAGGGGTTTAGGGTTTAGGGTTTAGGGTTTAGGGCTTAGGGTTTGGGGAGTTGGGTTAAGGGGGCTTATCGGGAGTTGAGTGAGTTCGTTGCATCCAGACAGTGTTGGACGATCTTTAGACAGTTCAGGGCAATTGGAACACCCTCTTCCGGTCCAGGATCTGCGCTGATGCTTCAGATGTTACGGAGAATCCGACTTAATGTCTACAAGGGATGTCGCAACCAGACAGACATGACGACAGGTTGTCGGTCGTCCTTTGTTGGATTTCAGACGTTCCATGTTGGGCCCGCTTTTTTCGCGAGTTTGGAGATTGAAATCTTAGTTTTGAATTTGCGGCTGTGGGACTTCGTGTTTCGGGCTTTGGGTTGGTATTTTGAGATTGCACGGCACATGTTAGTGATGGATTCTCGGCCATCGAAGGCATCATGCTGACAAAAAGATACAAAAAGCCGTAACCGTATCTTCATTCCAAAACCAGACATCCCAGCTCTGAATGGCTTGCCAGATTCCATATCCATGTCCCGCCTGCACACGCTTCACATGTACTGGCTCCAATTCTGTATCGGAATTTACACCGCTCCACAACAACGCCTTGCCAAACTCCGTGTTGCAACTACTCCTAGAGTAGCTGTTGTTCAATTTCCTTTCTTGCGCTGCGCGTTAATATGAGTAGTCATCTTAGTATGACGTCTCTGGTTTTGCATTCGGGGCCATAAAGCTCTGAGAACACGACCCTAAACCTGAAAGCATACACTGTCATAAACTTAATCTAGGATGCCCAGTAGTACCCTTATTCCCTTTTTGTAGTGCTAGGTTCCGTATACAGTTTCCCCATACCAAAAAGGGAGCCCTTTTTATTCCTAGGCTACTGGGCAGGCATCTTAGAAATAAACTCCGCAACTCTAAACTCTTCAAATTCTAGTAATAAACTCCCAAACTCCAAACTCTTCGAACTCTGAACCCCGCAGCGGCAGGGACGGTCCGACCGACGCCGCGATGACGGGCCAGGCGAGTATGAGCTTCGGGCGTACCCTTAACCTACCAAAACCTACTTTTCGTAGGGTTCCTGTAAATTCAATACGAGGTTCATCTTATTTAAGAACCTGCGAAAAAGTACATTGCGGCCGCACGGGGGGGAGAATTAAAGTCGTCCGCGCCACTCGCGCCACTCGCTCCACTCGCGCCACTCGCTCAGTTCAAGGAAAGAGTGGAACAGGTAACGTACAGGGGCGACTGGAGCGAGTGGCACGAGTGGAACACGCTTCTAGTGGAACGACTGGCACGATTGGAACAGTCGGAGTAGTGGAGTAGCTGGCCCTTAAATTAAAAAGACCCGACTCTCAACATCCCAAAACCTCGTCCGCGCCACTCGCGCCACTCGCGCCACTCCCACTCGCTCTAATCAGTGGAACAGGTAACGAGTGGAGCGAGTGGAGCGAGTGGAGCGAGTGGAACAGACGGATGAGCGCCTCCCAATGCCTGCACAAAGGCGTTTACAACCGATCTTGTTTGACATCTAAACCTCAAAGCACAAGTGTTTACCTCGATGCTGTTCGACATCTATGCGTCACAGCGAGCGTTTACCCCGATCTTGTTCGACATCGATGCCTCAAAGCAAGCGTTTACCCCGATCTTGTTCGACATCTATGTCACAAAGCACGAGTGTTTACCCGATCCTGTTCGACATCTATGCCTTAAAAAAAGCGATTACCCCGATCCTGTTCGACATCTATGCCTCAAAGCACGAGTGTTTACCCCGATCCTGTTCGACATCTATGCCTCAAAGCAAGCGTTTGCCCCGATCTTGTTCGACATCTATGCTTCAAAGCACAAGCGTTTACCCCGATATTGTTCGACGTCCATGCCTCAACTCAAGTGTTTACCTTACCCCGATCTTGTTCGCATCTATGCCTCAAAGCACGCGTTACAGTACCCCGATCTTGTTCGAAATCTGAGCCTCAAAAGCACAAATGTTTACCCCGATCTTGTTCGACGCTTATGCCTCAAAGCAAGCGTTTTAAGTGTCGGCGTAGATGCCGAACAGGACCGGGGTAAACACTCGCTTTGAGGCATAGATTCGGCATAGATGTCGAACAAGATCGGGGTAAACGCTGGCTGTGAAGCATGGATGTCGAACAGGATCGGGGTAAGCGATGTCGAACAAGATTGGGGCAAACACCCGTGCTTTGATAGGTGTCGAACAGGATCGGGGTAAGCACTTGTGCTTTGAGGCATAGATGTCGAACGAGCTCGGATAGACGTCGAGCAAGATCGGGGTAAATGCTTGCTTTGAGGCATAGATGTCGAGCAGGATCGGGGTAAACAATTGTTTTTTGAGGCATAGATGTTGAATAAGATCGGGAAAAACACTTGTGCTTTGCGGCACAGATGTCGAACAGGATCGGGGTAAACGCCTGCTTTGAGGCATAGATGTCGAACAAGATCGGAGCAAACACTTGCATTGAAGTACAGGTGCAGAATTGGATCGGGTTAAATACTTGTGCTTTCGAAACATAGAAATCGAACAGGATCGGGGCAAACGCTTGCTTTGAGGCATAGATGTCGAACAAATTCGGTGTAAACGTTTGTGTTTTGAGGCATAGATGCTGAACAGGATCGGGATAAACACATGTGCTTTGAGGCATAAATATCGAACAGGATCGGGGTTAACGCTTGCTTTCAAGCATAAATGTCGAACAAGATCGGGGTACACGCATGCTTTGAAGCATAGAATACGAACAAGATCGGGGTAAACGCGTGCTTTGAAGCATAGATGCCGAACAAGATCGGGGTAAGGTGAACGCTCGACTTGAAGCATAGGTGTCGAACAAGATCGAGGTAAACGCTTGTGCTTTGAGGCATAGATGTCGAACAAGATCGGGGTAAACGCTTGCTTTAAGGCATAGATGTCGAACAAGATCGGGGTAAGGTGAACGCTCGACTTGAAGCATAGGTGTCGAACAAGATCGAGGTAAACGCTTGTGCTTTGAGGCATAGATGCCGAACAAGATCGGGGTAAACGCTTGCTTTAAGGCATAGATGTCGAACAGGATCGGGGTAATCGCTTTTTTTGAGGCTATAGATGTCGAACAGGACCGTGTTAGTGCTTTGAGGCATAGATGTCGAACAAGATTGGGGTAAACGCTTGCTTTGAGGCATCGATGTCGAACAAGATCGGGGCAAACGCTCGCTTTGAGGCATAGATGTCGAACAGGATCGGGGTAAATATTGTGTTTTGAGGCACAAATGCGAACAGGATCGGGGTAAACGCTGGCTGTGAGGCATAGATGTCGAAGAGGATCGCGGTAAACGCTTGTGCTTTGAAGCATAGATGTCGAACAGGATCGGGGAAAACGCTTGCTTTGAGGCATAGATGTCGAACAGGATCGGGGTAAACACTTGTGCTTTCGAGGCATAGATGCGAACAAGATCGGGGTAAGGTAAACACTTGAGTTGAGGCATGGATGTCGAACAAATTCGTTGTAAACGCTTGTGCTTTGAGACATAGATGTCGAGCAAGATCGGGGTAAACGCTTGCTTTGAGGCATAGATGTCGAACAGGATCGGGGTAATCGCTTTTTTTAAGGCATAGATGTCGAACAGGATCGGGGTAAACACTCGTGCGTTGAGGCATAGATGTCGAACAAATTCGGTGTAAACGTTTGTGTTTTGAGGCATAGATGCCGAACAGGACCGGGGTAAACACTCGCTTTGAGGCATAGATTCGGCATAGATGTCGAACAAGATCGGGGTAAACGCTGGCTTTGAAGCATGGATGTCGAACAGGATCGGGGTAAGTGATGTCGAACAAGATTTGGGCAAACACCCGTGCTTTGATAGGTGTCGAACAGGATCGGGGTAAGCACTTGTGCTTTGAGGCATAGATGTCGAACGAGGTCGGATAGACGTCGAACAAGATCGGGGTAAAAGCTTGCTTTGAGGCATAGATGTCGAGCAGGATCGGGGTAAACAACTGTTTTTTGAGGCATAGATGTTGAATAAGATCGGGAAAAACACTTGTGCTTTGCGGCACAGATGTCGAACAGGATCGGGGTAAACGCCTGCTTTGAGGCATAGATGTCGAACAAGATCGGAGCAAACATTTGCATTGAAGTATAAGTGCAGAATTGGGTCGGGTTAAATACTTGTGCTTTTGAAGCATAGATTTCGAATTGGATCGGGGTAAACGCTTGCTTTGAGGCATAGATGTCGAACAAATTCGGGGTAAACGTTTGTGTTTTGAGGCATAGATGCTGAACAGGATCGGGATAAACACTTGTGCTTTGAGGCATAGATGATCGGGGTAAACGCCTGCTTTCAAGCAAGGATGTCGAACAAGATCGGGGTACACGCGTGCTTTGAAGCATAGAAGACGAACAAGATCGGGGTTCAACGCGAGCTTTGAAGCATAGATGTCGAACAAGATCGGGGTAAGGTGAACGCTCGAGTTGAGGCATAGATGTCGAGCAAAATCGAGGTAAACGCTTGTGCTTTGAGGCATAGATGTCGAGCAAGATCGGTTGTAAACTCCGTTTTGCAGGCATAGATGCCGAACAGGACTGGGGTAAACACTCGTTTTGAGGCATAGATTCGGCATAGATGTCGAACAAGATCGGGGTAAACGCTGGCTTTGAAGCATGGATGTCGAACAGGATCGGGGTAAGTGATGTCGAACAAGATTGGGGCAAACACCCGTGCTTTGATAGGTGTCGAACAGGATCTGGGTAAGCACTTGTGCTTTGAGGCATAGATGTCGAACGAGGTCGGATAGACGTCGAACAAGATCGGGGTAAATGCTTGCTTTGAGGCATAGATGTCGAACACGATTGGGGTAAACGCTTGCTTGAGGCATCGATGTCGATCAACATCGGAGTAAACTCTCGCTTTGAGGCATCGATGTCGAACAAGATCGGGGTAAACGCCCGCTTTGAGGCATAGATGTCGAACAGGATCGGGGTAAATATTGTGTTTAGAGGCACAGATGCGAACAGGATCGGGCTAAACGCTTGCTGTGAGGCATAGATGTCGAAGAGGATCGCGGTAAACATTTGTGCTTTGCGGCATAGATGTCGAACAGGATCGGGGAAAACGCTTGCTTTAAGGCATAGATGTCGAACAGGATCGGGGTAAACACTTGTGCTTTTGAGGGTCAGATTTGGAACAAGATCGGGGTATTGTAACGCTTGCTTTGAGGCATAGATGCGAACAAGATCGGGGTAAGGTAAACACTTGAGTTGAGGCATGGATGTCGAACAAGATCGGGGTAAACGCTTGTGCTTTGAAGCATAGATGTCGAACAAGATCGGGGTAAACGCTTGCTTTGAGGCATAGATGTCGAACAAGATCGGGGTAATCGCTTTTTAAAGGCATAGATGTCGAACAGGATCGGGGAAAACACTCGTGCTTTGAAGCATAGATGTCGAACAGGATCGGGGTAATCGCTTTTTTTAAGGCATAGATGTCGAACAAGATCGGGGTAAACACTCGTGCTTTGTGACATAGATGTCGAACAAGATCGGGGTAAACGCCTGCTTTGAGGCATCGATGTCGAACAAGATCGGGGTAAACGCTCGCTTTGAGGCATAGATGTCGAACAGCATCGAGGTAAACACGTGTGGTTTGAGGTTGAGATGTCGAACAAGATCGGTTGTAAACGCCTTTTTGCAGGCATAGATGCCGAACAAGACCGCGGTAAACACTCGCTTTCAGGCATAGATTCGACATAGATGTCGAACAAGATCGGGGTAAACGCTGGCTTTGAAGCATATATGTCGAACAGGATCGGGGTAATCGTTTTTTTGAGGCATAGATGTCGAACAGGATCGGGGTAAACACTCGTGCCTTGTGGCATAGATGTCGAACAAGATTGGGTGAACGCTTGCTTTGAGGCATCGATGTCGAACAAGATCGGGGTAAACGCGCTTTGAAGCATATATGTCGAACAGCATCGAGGTAAACACTTGTGCTTTGAGGTTTAGATGTCGAACAAGATCGGTTGTAAACGCCTTTTTGCAGGCATAGATGCCGAACAGGACCGGGGTAAACACTCGCTTTGAGGCATAGTTTCGGCATAGATGTCGCACAAGATCGGGGTAAACGCTGGCTTTGAAGCATGGATGTCGAACAGGATCGGGGTAAGTGATGTCGAACAAGATTGGGGCAAACACCCGTGCTTTGATAGGTGTCGAACAGGATCTGGGTAAGCACTTGTGCTTTGAGGCATAGATGTCGAACGAGGTCGGATAGACGTCGAACAAGATCGGGGTAAATGCTTGCTTTGAGGCATAGATGTCGAGCAGGATCGGGGTAAACAATTGTTTTTTGAGGCATAGATGTTGAATAAGATCGGGAAAAACACTTGTGCTTTGCGGCACAGATGTCGAACAGGATCGGGGTAAACGCCTGCTTTGAGGCATAGATGTCGAACAAGATCGGAGCAAACATTTGCATTGAAGTATAAGTGCAGAATTGGGTCGGGTTAAATACTTGTGCTTTTGAAGCATAGATTTCGAATTGGATCGGGGTAAACGCTTGCTTTGAGGCATAGATGTCGAACAAATTCGGGGTAAACGTTTGTGTTTTGAGGCATAGATGCTGAACAAGATCGGGATATACACTTGTGCTTTGAGGCATAGATGTCGAACAGGATCGGGGTAAACGCCTGATTTCAAGCATAGATGTCGAACAAGATCGGGGTACACGCGTGCTTTGAAGCATTTTGAAGCATTGATGTCGAACAAGATCGGGGTAAGGTGAACGCTCGAGTTGAGGCATAGATGTCGAACAGGATCGAGGTAAACGCTTGTGCTTTGAGGCATAGATGTCGAACAAGATCGGGGTAAACGCTTGCTTTAAGGCATAGATGTCGAACAAGATCGGGGTAATCGCTTTTTTTGAGGCATAGATGTCGAACAGGATCGTGTTTGTGCTTTGAGGCATAGATGTCGGAACAAGTTCGGGGTAAATGCTTGCTTTGAGGCATCGATGTCGAACAAGATCGGGGTAAACGCGCGCTTTGAGGCATAGATGTCGAACAAGATCGGGGTAAATATTGTGTTTTGAGGCACAGATGCGAACAGGATCGGGGTAAACGCTTGCTGTGAAGCATAGATGTCGAAGAAGATCGCGGTAAACACTGGTGCTTTGCGGCATAGATGTCGAACAGGATCGGGGAAAACGCTCATTGCGGCCGCACGGGGGGGAGAATTAAAGTCGTCCGCGCCACTCGCGCCACTCGCTCCACTCGCTCCATTCGCGCCACTCGCTCAGTTAAAGGAAAGAGTGGAACAGGTAACGTACAGGGGCGACTGGAGCGAGTGGCACGAGTGGAACACTCTTCAAGTGGAACGACTGGCACGATTGGAACGGTAGTGGAGTATAGCTGGCCCTAAAATTATAAAGACCCGACTCTTAACATCCCAAAACCTCGTCCGCGCCACTTGCGCCACTCGGGCCACTCGCGCCACTCGCGCCACTCGCTCCACTCGCTCCACAATCGCGCCACTCGCTCCACTCGCGCCACTCGCTCAGTTAAAGGAAAGAGTGGAACAGGTAACGTGCAGGGGCGACTGGAGCGAGTGGCACGAGTGGAACACGCTTCTAGTGGAACGACTGGTACGATTGGAACGGTCGGAGTAGTGGAGTATAGCTGGCCCTTAAATTAAAAAGACCCGACTCTCAACATCCCAAAACCTCGTCCGCGCCACTCGCGCCACTTGCGCCACTCGGGCCACTCGCGCTGCACTCGCGCCACTCGCGCCACTCGCGCCACTCGCTCCACTCGCTCCACTCGCGCCACTCGCTCCACTCGCGCCACTCGCTCAGTAAAAGGAAAGAGTGGAACAGGTAACGTACAGGGGCGACTGGAGCGAATGGCACGAGTGATGGAACACGCTTCTAGTGGAACGACTGGCACGATTGGAACGGTCGGAGTAGTGGAGTAGCTGGCCCTTAGATTACAGACCCGACTCTCAACATCCCAAAACCTCGTCCGCGCCACTCGCGCCACTCGCTCCACTCCCACTCGCTCTAATCAGTGGAACAGGTAACGAGTGGAGCGAGTGGAACAGACGGATTAGCGCCCCCCAACGCCGACACTCTTAAAAAGTAGGTTTTGGCAGGTTAATCTAGGGTTTTGGTTTAGGAGTTTAGGGTTTCGGGCCGGGGTTTGGGGTTGTAGCTTCTAGGTTTGAAATGAGGGAAGCAAGGATGCAGGGTTAATGTCGCGGTTTCTGGCAAACTTGGCTGGGCCTCAGGGTTTGGACGTTGGGACTCGGAGACGGAGGGGGGTGGCTTTTGATCTTCAGTGTTCCACTGCAAGCCTGAACCCTAAACTCGAAGCCCACGAAAGTCTGCAGCCTGAGTATCTTGAAGCCATAAAAGAAGAACCCGAAGCCCTAAACCCTTAAACCTTGAATCCCTTAAACCTTTAAGCCCTGAAGCCCTTAAACCCGGAAACCTTGAGGCATTAAACCCTCAAAACCCACAATCGGAAGACAAGAACCCGATGCTTCCCGGCAGGCATGCCGCGGCCAGACTCTCGGGAAGCCCGGCGGCCCGATCCGCAGTGGGAGCTGCGCGACGCGGGGGGCCGGGGACCCCGTGGCGACCGCCGGGAGGACCGAGGTAGGGAGGACTATCGCGTGGAGGACTTCCGGAAGGAGAGCTTCCGGAGGGAGGATTTCCGGAGGGATGACTTCCGGAGAGATGATTTCCGGAGGGAGGACTTCCCACGAGACGACCGCCGGGATGACCCGCGCCGAGACGAGCCGCGGAGGAAGCTGGGTTGCATCTGTGACTTTCTGGCACTCGTGTCGGGTATTTTTGAGAATCATAGCCCGTGCTGGGGTCGCCGCATCAGGTTGTTGTAGTTCTATTGACAGGCCGTGATGATTGGGCCATCATGGCACCAAGTAGGCAACGTGAAACTGGCTCCTTTTAACTGCAGGCCCCAACTCAGAAACCCGAAATCCTTCGGATGCCACACCCCGCGCACTGCATCTTTGTTTGGCCTGAAGACAGGGGGAACTTCAGAACTCAACTAAACAGCCACACTCGAACCCCACACCCCAAGCACAACTTTTGAGCCTAAGGAGAGATGACTACCGGCGCGATGATTTCCGGCAGGACAGGGCGAACTCTTCCCAGGTTTTGCTGTCTTTTCGGTTTAGGGTTTAGAGGTTAGGGTTTAGGGGTTTAGGGTTTAGAGTTTAGGTTCAGGCTTTGAATTGTGTGGATTTGGTGGCCCCGAGCCTTACTGACTTGCAGTTTGCTACATCCCTACATTAACCCGTAAACCCGGAACCAGCACACCCCTGCTTGGAGGGTCGGGGGACTTAGTAAGTAGGTAGTAAGTAGACTTATAAGTATATACCCGAAAAGGGACCCTAATTGGCTTAGGGTTAAGTGCCCCCGGTCCGACTTTAGTCCCAAGCTGCCAGAGCCCTTAATCCTAGCACCCCAGCCACCCCAAAAGGTCCCCTAATATAGGGACCTAAATCATTACCAACGTTATTCTTAGGGTTCCTTATTATAATGATAGTATAACTTACCTCAAAACCCTATTGAAATTGATAAGGCCCCTATATTAACCGCCTTCGCAGGAGGACTTCCGGCGTCCCCCACCGGGCAGGGAGGAGCCTCCCCGCGAGCCTCGGTGTCTTGGCTTTCAATGATTCTTTTTTTCGGGCTGGGGAAAGAGGGCATTGAGTTTTTTGTTTGGGTTTTCTGCAATGAATCTATGATTTGATGAAAGGTGCTGGAGTGTTGGGGCACGTTGTGAGTTGTTGGTAACAGGTGTCAGTTTAAGCAGTGCGTTTAGAGCTTCGTATGAAAACCTGCTCTACTCTGCTCGTTGGCCTTCCTGTCATGCATCATGCTTCAGTAAAGGACTGTGGTGGAATTGCTTGTAGCAGCTACCCTGAAGCCAAAACCCTGCTTTAGAAAGCTCCTGGCTTGGCGCTGTTTCGCAGTGTTCGACGTTAAAGACCAGCAAGACGGGAAGGGACTGCAAGCTGCTGATACAACCTCTGCAAAGCCTCTTTCACCAACCGCGGAGCGCAAGCCGCAGACCTTAACTGCAAACCCCAAACTCCTAAGTCGTTAAGCCTCAGACCTGTGCCACGTCAGTGGTCCCCCGAGGAGGGATGACCGCAGAGACGATTTCCGCCGAGAGGACCTCAAGGCATTTGTGCATTTCAGGCTTTAACATATGAGTCGGAGAAATATGTAATAGTATCCCATCAGAGTCCCTGAATAGCTATACTCTAGCCCTTCAACCCTCTCGTAGTTAGTCCGGGGCTTCAGGCATACATCTGGGCTTTCGAGTTACCCGGGTTTGCTTGTTGAAACCTTCGAACCCTGGGTCGACATCCTGCTGAAAGCTGCGCAACTCCGAACCCTAAACCCTCGAGTTTGGACGAAACTCTCAGCCCTAAACCTGCGCCCAAACTCTGAACCCCAGCCATAACCGAAAACCCCAAACATCGCAAGCAATGACCCTAAATTCCCAGACCCCACACGATACTGCGACTCCTCAACTCAAGCTCCAAACCTATACTCTAAACCCTTGGGTCAAGCCTTAAACCCAAACCCCGAAGCGCTAGAACCCGCTAAGCCCTAAATCCTAAGCCCTGAACCCTAGATCTCAAACCCTTAATCCCAAAAAGCCTTAAACCTTAAAAAAAACCTTCATCCCTATAAGTCCTAAGCCCCAAAAGCCCTAATCCCTAAAAAGCCTTAAAACCCTAAACAAAAGGACCACCGACGTGGCGCTGCGGCGCCGCGCCGCGAGGAGATCAGAGCCCCAGATCCGCGTGGCCCGGATCCGCGTCGGGAGGAAGCTCGGAGGCAGTTGGCGTTTAGGGCTTAGGGCTCAGGGTTTAGGGTTGAGGGTTCAGGATGAAAATTGAAGGGAATAATAGGGTTTTACCAAGGTTTAAGGTTTGGCCACGGGTTTAGGGCTTGGGGTTTATCAATATGCTCGTTTGTAGGGTTGGATCCGCGGGGGCTGGATCAGTGGGCTTGGCAAAAACCAAAGTTATCAAAATCAGAAGTCAACCTGAACAAAGACTTATTGGATACGTTACGACACGGTAGGTTTGTCCAGAATTAATGTAACTGGAGATTTGCAGACACTGAAAATTGTTGAGAAAACCATGAAAAAATGTAGTATTATTTCTGTCCAAGCCGGTGTGTGAACAGAGCAACCGGAAGCTGTGCCATTCCAGTGACTCCTTGCACCGACATTGGCACGTCGGGCAAGGTCACACTAGATGGCTGGCCTTTGTGTCCCCAAGCAAGGAAACTTGATGGCTCTTCGGGTGAGAGCCCGGCAACACCAACAGGTTTTCGCAAGGCTGAGGACGTCTGTGCAAGAGCCGGCAGAAGCTGCAAAGGTGTGACTCCCAAATTGTCAACAAGAAATTGTTCCTCAAGTGTGTTCACTTGTGCCATGCCACTGACCCCTTGCACCGACATGGGCACATCGGGCAAGGTCACAGTGGATGGCATCTATTGTTTCCTCACACTGCTCAGAACAACCTGTCAACTTAAACAGGTTGCTGCAAGGTTGAGGAAATCTTGAGTCAGCATGGCATTGCTTGGCAAGGTTGACGATTCGAATTGAGGAAATCTTGAGGAATCCTCCTCAAGTGGGGCAAAGAAGGCAAGCACGACGTCCAAGGCCCTGATTTGCCGGCGCATACTCATTCACTGAAAGAGCCATATCAATTCTGTTCCTCCAAGTGTGTTCACTGAGACAGCCACATCGACATAAGGCTGCAAGCAAATCAGACTTGTGTCTCAATTGTTATGCAACCTTCTCATCAGTCATCGCACTGTTTTACCTGTGTTGCTGCATGGCCTGCTGTTGCTGTTGTGTCACAGCATTCACACCCCAAAAACCAGTCACAGCAGATTGGCTTGAATAATAAAAAGCATGCAGCTCAGTAAGCTATGAAACGTATTTTGGCTGACGAAGCGGATCGTCACAATAGATTCCGGACAATCTGCGCAACTGCTTCCCCGAACATCGAAGTGTATTCCCCACTAGCCTGTACATCTGCTGGCACACCGGTGAAACGGCCGTCTTCGCCTCGGTTTACCAGACCAATGAAAGCATTATGATCTGGTTTGGGCCTGGCCAGGTTCTCAAAATGAAACCCAGGCAAATGCCACAGTTGCAAGGGCTTCACTGACTTTCCGTTAAAGGCACCCATGTAGGTGCAAGTCTTTTCGAAGCCACAAAAGGATAGAACTGTTTTGACACACTCGAGGTGCGGCATACAGGAGCTGAGGGGCTGTTCCACCACAGGGCAGCACTCACATGCCCATCCCAGGAAAATCCCAAGTGAGCAAACAAGGGCCTGACAATTTCCCTGCAATACAAAGTCCCGCTCAGTCCATGCGCCTTCCCAGCCGTTGCTTTCAGCACGTTGGGAACGAAATGAGCACATAATGACAAAAGAAGAGCACGGAGTGCCCCACCAATGCAAAGCCTTCTTCTCACACGCTGTGGCTGCATCCAGAAACAAACGCAACCCTTTCGCTAGCAACATGTTGTGTTCGTCATTGTAGAGTATGTCAAAGCTGCACCCACGGAGACCGGATTCGATCAATTTCTTCGAAAGTTTGGCGCTCCCTGCATAGTATTCAATGTATTGCAGCAACCCCGCACATTGATGGGGTCCCACATCGATTGAAGCTGCTTCAATCTTGGCTCTGTTGTCATAGCTACGGCTAATGATGCACATCAGCTGACACTCGATGGTTCGGTTCTTCAATGCGGGATAAGCCAATCCAATCAGCCCATGCCATTTCATGGCCACTCTGCCCACATTGAAGTCCTGGTCGTAGCGCAAGAAATTTTGCACCAAAATCCTTGCAACCATGAGCCTGTGACACCAAGGCTCTGTGGACCTGGCCAGCAAGATCAATTGAGGATGATGATAAGTTTATGTAGTATTACATTAATGAAAATTCATATTATAACAAAATCTGTGACCCATAACACCTTGAACAGACTCCGGCCTTGGGGAGAAAGACAAGGAAGCAAACGGAAGGAAATGCGAACATTGCAATCGCGATGTTTGCTCGAAGACGTCCTCTACCCAAGTGTCAAACCGATCATCAATTTCATCAGTTCCTGTGCTTGAAACTGTATCGGTAAAATTCAAGGCAGGAAGAGTACACGGGCGCTCCACTGATCTACCTCCCAACTCAAATGACTCTGCAGCATTCTTTTTCCTTTTGCATTTCTTGCGTGCTGGCTTCACAGGCCCAGCACTACCACTGAAGACCAGCGATGATCCCAGCACATGCTGGCACGGCCACTGGAAATTGGACATGTTGGTGATTCACTGACATCAATACATTGATTTGTTGTCCCACATAACTTTAAACCATACCTCTGGTCCAACTTGAGCAACAAATGGATTCAATGCTTGCCTGGCATATCAAGCACATTCCACAAACTAACAGGACACAATGTCAGGAAGGCTTGTTTTTGCTGATCGCTTTCTCCCCGAGCAATCTGCAGCATAACTATGGTGAGACTTCATGATTCATGTCATGTCATCTTCAATTGCACACTTCAGGCATTCAGCAACTGTAATTGCAACGTAACTGTAAAGACTCAATCACAGAATGAACAGCAACTGCGCACAAGCTGAAGCCAAAATTGTGAATCGAACATGTTGCCGCTATGACAGCAGGAGCAGATTCACACACATTGGACTCGGCTGGATGAACTCACTCCCTGTGACTTCTTGAATCGACCGAAGACTTGAAGCTAAGAACACGATACTTGCATACATGACATTGACAGAAATCTGCAACCTGCTGACATGTTTTCCCCTGTGATGTGTTTATCACCAAAAAAAACTGAAGAGGCTACTTGGCATACTTTGTGGGCGGAGGCATTGCGTCGATAATCGGGGCAAGGCGTTCCAGGACAGCCTCAGGGATAGTGCCAGGCTGACAATGAGGCGGCAGTTGCCTTTCAGGTTTGGCCTTCTCCCACTCTGTCCACGCCCAGCGATGCACTTGAGCCAGTGCTTGCTTCCAGTCTGATCTGTCGTTAGCAAAGCTTTTGCTGCAAGACTTTTTCCCCTCACTTGACACATACTGTTTTGTCATGATCTCGGCTTTGAAGCGATGATCGTTGAAGCTGAGACGCAACTTGAAGTCTTCGGGTGGATCCAACTCCGACAGGAAGTCGGGAGTGTTATTCAAGTGTGGACCATGCTCGCGCGGAGCACGTTGCGATGCCTGGCCACGATGTGCAGCATCATCAAGGACCTGCTCAGGGGCTGATCCGCTCGAGGACGAGGCCTGTGCCATTCCACTGTCCCTTGGCCCGGATATTGGATCCGGCAAGGTCCCATTGGATGGCTGTGCTTGCACTTTTGTTTCCTCGTGTGCGACCCCGGCACCACCAAGCACAGAGTGTGGACGGGAAGCATCGACACAGGGCTCCTCCGCCGGGGGGGCGGGCTCTCCTTCACCAGTGTGTGGACTGGGAGGATGGGCGCAAGGCTCCGGTGAGGGGGCGGGCTCTCTTGGACTGGGAGCATGGACACAAGGCTCTGCCGGCAATGAATCAGGATTTGTTCGATCGTCCATGACATTCATGTCCAACAGCTGGCTTTCCAACTCCTCTTTGAGTTCAGAGATATCTGGATCTTCTTCCACTGCTGGTCCGGGCATTTGTTCGAGCACCTGCTCCTTGCGTTTTCGTGACGCTGCTTGCCTGCGAGCCAGCCCTTGCAAGCCCAAAGCTGTGCCTCTTCCAAACCCATTGCCTTTTCCACGGCCTTTGCCTTTTCCTTTGCCCTTGCCTTTGCATTTTGCTTTGGCACACGGTTTTGACTTTGCTTTGGCTTTTGCCACAGCTCTCCTCGCTCTTTTGGCCTGCAATCGAATCACAATTGAGTCACAATTGAGTCACATTTGAATCACAACAATTGAGTCTAAGCCTAGCTCAGAAACTCACTGGAAGGTCTTGCCAGGGTGCCTTTTGTTCTGCAACCTTCTCATCCCACATGTTTTGCCAACGTTGTTGCTCGGCCTGCTGTTCCTGTCGCATCAGGGCTTTCTCCAAGTCCTGGAAATCCTGTTTATCTGAGGGCTCCATGTTGTCCAACAATGCTGATAGAAAACCATCAGGCATATCTGCATCAGGAGCCTTCTGAGTGTCTGACTCTGCAGCTTCACGGCAAGCTTCTGCAAACTCTTCTCCGAAACACTCCTGACACTGTTTCAACAACTCCTTCTTGGAATTCTTGTGGGGTTGTGTCACATTCAAGTAGTCCGCCATCAATGTCAACTCCGCAAAGGTCCTTTTGTGCCCGGAGCGCAAAGTGTTTTGCACAAGTGGTTCCCAACCACACGTGGCTTTGAAATAGAGTCCTGCCTGTGTTGACAATTTCGGAGTGGCTTCACATGCTTCCCATTCCTCAGGGTTGTGAAGGAACTGCCATGAGCAACCGGCCTCCACTTGCAACTGCCAGCCCGAGCACCTGCCGCCCTCATGAACTTCGGACAACCGCCATGCCAACACTGCCCATTTGAAGGATCCCAGAACAATGTAGGTCTCTTCCACATTGCGCAAAGTAATGATTTGCCCAAACTGGGCAAACACAGCCCACAAGCCGTCCTCAGGAACATGTTGTTCTTAGAACAGAGCTATTCAATCACAGACCGCTACTTTGCTGATTCACCCCAGGCCTTCAATTTCACGTTCTGCGTGCTCAAGTTGTTCTGCGAATAGTAGCGCAGGAAGGACCATGATGCTGCAGAAACAATCAATTGTTGTTCAGAAATGGTGTCCCACGTTTT